TGATTACTTTTAGTATGCAACTGAAAAAGTTATGCTATAGGCAGTTTGACCTGTGTAATTACCACAGAAAGTAGATTGTGACAAAAGTTGGTAAAATTTCATGAATAAAATTTAGGCCAATTTCCAAACAAGCCTGCACAACCGTTCATGCTGGCCCATGAATCGTGTTCTCCAATGTGTTGTTTTGCTAGCATCACTAGCTATGCCACTGAATCTATGCCAATGTGGTTTCACATGGTTTGAGCGGCAAAGTTGTAAGGACATTGTTGTGTAGCGAAGTTTGCATGATTTTTATGTCATGATGTTATAATAAAATAAACGTGATTAAAGAGGAGAATACTGCATGACAAGTGTTTTGTAATGTAGGTAAGATGTTAATAAAGCGACGGCTTTAGGTATTTCTTTGATTTTCTATGTAACACGGCCGTAAATAGTGAAAAGGTTGTTGTGCATTTTGCACGACTGAATTCACAGGTTTTGTCTATGGAAGGTTATTGGGCCCTAAAATAACATCAGAATATAAAATTTTTTAGGGCACACTTTATTGGTCTAACTTTAGTGCACTACTACTAGTACTAGTAGTAGTAGTACTACAAATTACAAATTACAATGCTGAAAAAAAGTGAAAAGCCACACAGCTAGTATTGAACTATGCAACGTATGTCATTGACATGTCATTGGCAATGATAGCTCTACTCTTGTCTACCCATGTAATAGCTCTTTGCTCTGCCACAGGCACAGGGTATGCAGAAACGGGCAACCCTTATTGCTGGGGTGTCCAAAAGAGCACTGGCTGTTTTACTTTGCTAGCATGATTGTCTGGTTCGAGGGGAATTGCCTCCGATGCTCCCTGGCTGCTTCCTTCATTAGGTTGTAGGCTAAGTTATTGTTAGTTAGCCCTGTGTGCCTAGTGGTCTACGTGCTTTGATCTGACCAGTCCAAATTTTGATCTGTGAGTGGCCTCCACTGGACTAAGCACAGTTTTGGTTTAAACACCATAATTATATAGAAGACTGGGGATCAAACTTACGATTGAGCCGTGGCAAAGTTGGGTAAATCACAACATCGGTACATACATGATGGGATTAATACTACATCAGACGTAGGGTTGCAAGCATCCAATTTTCTATTTTTAGGCATGGCAATTGTTGCTTTGGGTTTAATCAGAAATTGAAGTGCACCATGTCAGGTTCAGTGTTTGTACCAAGATGTGAATGCAGGGATTTTTGGTGTTTCTTTTCAAATGTTTTCTAAAGTATTGGCTACCACTATTTTGTTATTCGCATATGCCTGTCTAATAATATATACAATATTGGCTCATACTAATGCCTGTCAAACTCTTCTTCTTCTGGGATGAGTACCTAACTGTGCAGAAACGTTATTTCTTCTTCTTTATCATCGTCGACTCATCATTGTCCTTTTCTTTTTTTTCTTATTCGTTGTCATCTTCTTCTGCTTCTTCCTCTTCCTCTTCTTTTTTTTTTCTTCAGCTTCTCTTCTTTGCCTTCTCATTCTCTTCTTTCTCATTCTTAAAAACTATTTCATAATCTAGCTAACAACACATTAAACTGGTTAAGATGTTATTACTATCATTAATTTTTGCTAACCCCTTTACTTACTTGTTTAACTATATTTTAGTACAAAATATTGCTACATTTACTGTGTAATGTTCATTAAGAGTGATGTAACTACTAATGTTCTCTTTTTATTTAATAATTATTTTTATTTGATTGAAAATTCAGTTGTAGGGATGTCAGACAATGGGCATGGTGGTCAGACATCAATTGCAAATTTGGACATGGTGGATGGCATGTTGGCAAAGCCCCCGCATATCCAACGATTGGAGCAGGCCCTAAATCTTGACTATCTCACAAAGCATGTTGAGAAAATTTTACGTGAAGCAGAAAGGTGAGCTATGATTGTGACAAACTGCCTCATTAAGCTATTGTAAACTCTGGTTGAATGTAACTAGAATTGCTACTGGTGTGGGGATTACAGATGGAGTATGATACAATTTACACAATGTTTGCATTGGTAACCATGTTAAGGATCATTGTTTTATCTCTTCACATATTTCGAACTATATATATATTCTGTTAAATCCACCTGACAAGTTTGTTGCTCTTACCTTCCAAAATGATTATTGACATCAGGGGTAGAAATTAGTTTGAAAATTTACAGGCCAGCCGGGCATGTAGGTAAGGGATTTTACAGGCTCGCCAGGCAAATTACAGGCCCGCATCAGTCCCTGGATACTGCAGCATATTTAAAAAATAAACAATTATAATATTATTTTCATATCCTGTTATGGACAACTTGACACAAGTGAGCGATACTGGGGTAACTTTTCATCCTCGCTGGCATGCCGGGGACGATTTTGCTTGCTGGGGTGGATTTTCTACAGGCTCGTAGGGCTTGCTAGTATTTGAAATGTCAGGCCCGAGCCTTAAAATACGGGCATCGGGCCCGCGCGCCCCTTATGATTTCGACCCATGAACATATAAAAAATAGATTATTTTTATCATAATTTGTGTGTGATGGTTTTTTGACTCTGAAGCAGCCAACTGAATGCTGATTATGTACTGGTGGAATTTTGGCATATGTCGTATGTACTCGTGTTGAGGTATGGCGTCTTCATCCTAGACGTTTGCTACGCTACTCATCAGCGGTACCATGTGCTAAGTCATTTATTTTAATTTCAGCAATAGCGACAGTGAGGAAGAAGATGGAATACCATCAGATGAAGAAGTGGAAGGAACCAAACTTGTCAATGGCATCATAGTGTCAAGAGCAGGTAGCAATGATTATGAATGTTTAATTTTGCTGAAATTGCTCATCGACTTTTCAAACAGTTCTTTATAGCTATATCAAGGCATGAAATTCAGATTTTTTTGCTCCGGCCCAGAGGGCTGGTAACCGCAGTTTGTTTACCAGCCCTCACCATAATTTACCAGCCCTGACAAAAAAATAAAAATAAGACTGTTTCACTGACTCCTGCTTGTCCGAAAAATGTTGTAGTGCGGCATCCCGTAGTAACTGTTGAACAAACTATAAATCGTGAATGATGTCCGAGGTGTTTTTGTCAATGTCATCTTTCACACTTGCATGCTTGATTTCAAATTTGTAAAATGTTGATAATGGTGTAATATCCTTCAGGTAAAACAGTAATGTAGGCTATTCGCTCATTAATGCTATAAATAAAAATGTAGGTACTCGCTAACACGGCTGAAACCACCGACTCGGAGGGCCGGTGTTTTGCCAATGTTACTGGCCCTCCAAATAATTTTCCGGCATATGCCGGTGAGCCATTGCTAAATTTGGCGCCCTGATATACAGTTGATCAATTGACAGTTGTTATGTACATGAGACAATGTAAGCAAGGAGCATCCATCTCCACTCCAAAGTGGCCAAAGAATAAGTTGAAAATGGATATTTTTAAAATTAGTGTAGTCAGGGGTCACCAGTTGTGGTTCTTCTGTGTCTTTTCTGCAGCAGATTAATACAGTGCAGGGGCATGCCATGTTTTGCTGTATTAGTTGTGTGGAGTACAATTGCCATACGTGACATACATGTAAATGTGTTATTTTTCTTCAGAAAGAAGAATAGACAAAGCAAGACTATTTAATTTCTCAAAAGTCAAGAAGAGCAGAAAATGGTTAAAAGTATGTCTGAATGCTGCTTGACTCTAACATATAGTAATACAATGCACCATAACTACTGTACTCTGAAACTGTGTGTGCATGCATGCATGAGCGCATACCTGCCATAACAGCTCTCGCCCATTGAGGGGCTTTATACACTGACCAAAAATTAATGTAATTAGACTGGTTTATTGGCTATTAATTGAGAGGAATAATATTGCAGAAGTTATTTGGAATTTTATAATCTATGGAATTTATCAGTTTATCGAAAAGTTAAATACATAGTTGTGCCTGTACATTTTAGAATGCACTAATGAGCGACTCTGAGTCTTCCGAGGATGAAATATCAGAGACAGATCTACGTGAGATGCTCAAGATGCATGAGCACCAAAGAAAACACAAGCAGTTGTTTTCTGATAACAAGGAGGTCTGTTGACTTAGTCTTTTACTCTTTTCCTGTTAGGCCAAAAAAATAGGTGTGTTTCCGGTTGCATCGAAAACAAAAGTAGGGTAGGTAGGTAGGGATTTTTTTTTTTTAATACAATTCTACAGGTGTTTGCTAATTCGACATCTTTCAGGTTATAAATAGGATTCCTCGTTTGTATTCTGTTTTAATATTGAATATGTATGTATACCTTGTGCTTTAACTTTAATACATGTATATAATTACATATTTTGCTTTATTTTATTTTATTTTTTTATTTTATTTTTTTTTTGAAAAAAAAGTTTAGGGTCGGCCCTAATAATCTAGGGACGGTCGGTCGACCGGAAAAACACCAATTTTTTTGTTTGGCCTTATACGGTTACACATGATTGTGTTTAATTGTAAGCGAGCCTAATACAGACAGCAGACTTTTGTTGCAATACAACAAAAACATTTGCGCACATTTTTTTAAAGATAAACCTATGAGGTTGTTTGCACAAAATTTATGGTTTATCACTGTTACACACATTTATTTATATTTGCTAAAAAAAAATCACATTGTTAATGCACAAAATGCATGCAATGCACATGCCTTTTAAAACATGAGTACTGACACTTGATATAAAATCAATTTGTGGGCTTTCATGTTTGAAGTTAAATCATGACCATAGTTTATTCCTGTATTCTAGCTGCATCAATACCAGTACTATGGTGCAGGGTTGCTCTCAAACCAAGACAAATGGTATGAGCATCAGAGATTGGTCTTGGGCCCAAAAAAGAAGCAACTCGTTAAAGCTCAGAGAGAGAAAAGACTGAAAGGTAATAGTAGTACAGTGGAACTCCGATTTTACGCGCCTCGATTTAACGCGAATCCGGATATAACCTGATTAGTCGTTGCACCCCCTTTTTTTGCTCTTATATAGCCACGTATATATAACCCCGATTTAGTGCGACCCCGCTTTTTTCACGATGACATTTTATGTACCCCAACCATGGGTCTACACTGTACATAGTAATAGGACCTTGTAAATATTGCTAGTGTTCTGACACTTTAATCATCAGACTCGGCATTAACATGGAATGTTTTGCTGTATTGATTGGTTTTGTTGCACTGTATATTATTTAGTGACACCCAACCTGGCTTATTGGGGTACTGGTGCATTAATGATTTCAGCATGCTCAAAATATGCCTTGCCACTGGGATCGAGCCTAAAGGTTTGGGCTAGTGCATTACATGTAATCTCGATGTGTAGTGTGTATGTACAACGTGTTTCAGCGAAACTAAAGAAAATCAAAGCACAAGAAAAGAAACTGGCACAACTTAGACAGTTTGTTGCTGAGGTAAATCTTTTGGGAATTGGTGCTTTTATAACTATCTTGATTAAGTAATTTGGACAATCTGATAAATAAAGAAAACGTGTTTACCAGTTTAGTGATTCATGGAGTAAATGCTCAGATTATGGCTAAGCATACATGTACGATTTTTTTAAATGTTCTTTTAAGGCTAAAGGTAAATTTTGTTCACATGGTAGTATTTTAACCCATGTGATATGATTGGATGCATCTAATAGCATGTCATGAGTGTTCATGCATACATTAATAATAGTGACAAATTTAAATGACGTTCATGTACGGCATATAGGGAACAATCCCAATAAGCCACTTTGGGTCAAAACTAGAGGTCAGTGGTTAAAAGTTGAGTGGGAAAGAATGTCTTACTCATTCCTTCACTCAAACCTTAACTAAAGGATAGGGCAAGAGCAGCATCTAGCAGTGGCACTATCATGAGTAACAAGATCAGTAACATAGGCTACAGCAGCAGCAAGAGCAATCATTACACGTAGCACTACCCGTCAATTTAACACTGATATTTTGTGGTATTTGTTGACAAAAGATCATTTTTCTAAGACTGCTTGAATGTCAATGCTGGTAAAAGTGATTAGTGACTAACATTACGCTTTGGAGTTAATAGCTCTTTACCAGTAGATTTTAGTAGTATTTTGTCTTAATCTATTAGTTTACCTTTGCTGCAGTCATCTGATCATGAACCAGAGCCAGCCAGCATTGGCAGGAAGCGACCATATAGAAAGCGACCAATGACGCCTGCAGAAGCCACTATGAAGCGCAGGAAAATTTGGTCTTTGATATGCAAGAAAGAAATTTCAAAGGTGACAAACATAGTAATATTCTGGTAATTTAAATGTTACTGGATTATATGCAATAGTTCAATCTTATATTAATTCGTTTGTTAGATTTTGGCATATCAAGCAGTGGTATTTTGGCATATTGTTACAAAGCATTATATCTATTTTAACTTTTGTCAGAAAATAGCAAATCCATCATATATTCATATATATTAAACTATTTTTAGGGAAGGAATGGTTGCAAAATGAGTAGTATGGTGGAGTTTGATGTTATCAGGGATAAATTATTCAACTTTGATATTATTAACTCTATAAAGTACATGTGCATGCAAATTATAAATTATTTGAAATTAAAATTCATGGTGTCATGCCTACACACTGTAAATGTAATTAATTCGGTGTTTCAGTTATTCCCCATTAATAAAAGAGATTATAAACTGAATAAAAATTAAGAAGTGTGTCACACCTAATTATTGGAAAGCCAACGTTTGCTAGCCTTAATCTACCTACAATTTTTATTATGATTAACTAAGCAAACGAGCTCAAAATCTACCATAAACACCCAGCACTTTACTGTACGAAATTGTTTTTTCAATACACATTCACAATACATATGTATATATTAAAACGTACAGGATGGTTTGTATGCAAAGTGACTATGCACATCAATATCTTATAATGCATTCACATAGAGCAGCACATACACATAGTGGCTTGTTGAAAATGCAGCAGAGGGCACCATGATTGTCTTCGGGAAATCATTCCAAAACCTTGCCGCATGTTTTAATTGATTGTGAATGAGTATGGGTAAACACATTTCATACAATGTTTAGTGAATGTAGCTAGCCTTTGATCTCGGATTTGTTGAGTTAAGTGTAATCAATCAATGGCAGGTTAAGGCAAGCAAATGTTGGCTTTCCACTAATTGTATCCCCCGTGACAAAGTCGGCGGGGATACTATGGTTTACATATCTGTCCAGCTGCCGCCGCGGCCTCTTGGCGCCGCCGCAGACACTTTCCCTACTGCTCTATAACTTGACCCCTAATTGACCTAGCGTGACCAAACATGGTCTACTTACACAGTTACACATCTTGGAGAGAAGGTGCGCAGCATACCGAAACCAGGTCACAGCAACCTTTATTTGACATTGACTTTGACCTTCATCATATTTCCTTTCTGCTCTATAACTTGGCCCCTAATTGACCTCGCGCGAGCAAACTTCGTATACTTACACATCTTGGGGAGAAGGTGTGTCGCGTACCAAAACCCCTAAGGCAACCAATTTTAACATACCTGCACATCTCAGGCAGATGAGTTGTGTAACAAACCTTTGTTTTTGTGACTTATTTAACTTTACCTACCTTCTACGTCCTTCCAGAGATATTTCATTCATACTAGATCACGGGGGATACATGTAGTTGGCGACAACTGCCCTTTCTAGTTAAGCCTTGCACATTCCTTTGCTTTGTTTCACCCCTGGTGTTACATTTAGTCAGTATACGTTATTATGAATTGGCTGATTTTAGGTTCAAAAGCAGAAGCACAGTGCTAAGAAAGAAAATCTACAGGTGGCTAAAAGGGTGAGTTGAGATATAACACTTAAGTCTTAACATAATCGCTCCTGGATAGGCTTTTTAGCTCATCTGACATAGTCAGATGCAGCTTGTAGAATCGCATGAGCGTGCGTGCGTCCGGCCATGCGTGCGTCCGTGCGTGCGTCCGTGCGTCAACAGTTGGGCACAAATCTTAACCGCTCGACGTACGGTCACGATATTTGGGACGTGGGGGGGGGGGTAATCTGATAACGAGTTGGGATGTCGAAAATGGGGGGTCAAAGGTCAAAGGTCAAGAGGTATAAAAGAAGGGGGAACATTCCCTCCTTAACTTAAGGTATAGGGAGGAAATGCAGAATTGCGGCACAAATCTAAACGGCTCGACCTAGGCTCGTGATAGTCGGTGTATAGCATCATGGTAGGAGAAGCCATCACTGTGCCGAAATTGGCGGTCAAAGGTCAGTGGGGCACAGGGCAGATTTTAGACATTTTCTGAGTACATGGTCTGACGGAGCGATTGAAAAACATTTTTGTTTCAGCGGTGACTTACGTAACCATTTTTATGGCTTTATTGACAGGACCATGAAATGTACTTTCCACTGACATGCGAAGAGTAAGTGTTGGATAACCTTTTGACCCTCAAGAGGAGGGTTAAACATTGATTTGTTGACTGTTAACAAAGGACTGAACTGCTATTATTAGAGCCCATACCTGTGTGAATGTGAGGCTACAGTTGCACAGTTTAATTGCAAAGGCAAATGTTTGTTGAACAAGGTTCACGCTCCTTAAATCATATTATTTTCTAAAGCAGTCTGTCTATAGCACCCTGAGGGCTGAATCAGTGAATGCTCGCGTGGGTAGGCAAAAACACGGGACAGCCCATGGCTGGCACTCTTCCAATCATAATTGTTGCCTGCCAACCTGCAATACACATGTGTTAATTCACAGCTGAGCGAAATTATTAGAATTAGCCCATAGAGATTAGGTGGGTGCGAAAGTGTAGCTGATATATGGCTATGTTCAAATTGGCTACGAAAGTCAAACAAGAATAAAGAAGACTTATGTATAAGACGTCTTGCTATGCACAAATTAATTTATCAGCAGAACACCAGACACCAGATGAGCCCTGTCGCACTGCGGCACTTGTTATCACTTATTAGATGATACACGCAAAGAGTGCATTACACTACTTATTACATTGTTTATAAAACGGTGTCACACTGGCATTCATGAGGATGACATTTGAACTTGGGAAAATGTAGGAATCTCCGTTACTATACTAGGGTGTGTTTTCTTGCTAATAGCATAAATTGCTAACTTTAATAAGTAACATCACAAGCATAGACTATGCAACCGTTGGATGTCACTAGGTTTGCGTGAAGAGAACTAATGTATGCATAGCCAAACCATAAATGCAATTCTCTCAGGATCTGCAAAAAGAAATGTGATTATAACATCCTCACTGTATGTTCAGCTTAATGACATTACGTCACCGTAAATAGTAAAAGTTAAAAAATTATGTCCACTTTTCCACAAAATTAAGTGATTCTGTTCACTTTTTATGGTTAAATTGCTGCATTATACTTCCTATTTTGCTATTCCGTTTGATGTGAACAAACACTCGTGACCCATACATAGCTCATAGCAAGCATTTATTGTTGTGATCAATATATCAAATCGCCCAGATTTTTTGGATTCTGAACTAGTTGAAAAACAATTTTATCAGGATTTTGAGTAATTTTTTTAGGAATCTGAGGATACGTTTAGTGCCATTAGTACTTACTTTTCATGTAAAAAAAAATTGCAACAAAAATTTTACGAATTTACACCATAGAAAATTCGTGATGTAGTCAATTTGACAACTATTTGCTCTTGTTGTCTCGCAACAACAGCTGGCGGTGGGTTGCCTGCGTGAGCGTCGCAAGACTGCACTGTTGTCGCAGAAGACTGCGCGCGAGACTGCATCCAGAATGAGACGCCTGACACGTGAGATGCTGCTGTACTGGAAACGCTTCGAGAAGGTAGAGAAGGAGCATCGAAAGCGTGCGGAGAAGGAAGCCCTAGAGCAGCTGAAGATGAACAGTGAGCTTCTCGAGGTTCGTATTCCATCATACATCAGAGAGAAGCGTAGACTATGATTTTGTATTTGTGGAATAGTGTGTATGTTACAGTAGAGACCAGTAAGCTTCGCAAGGTTACTGGATCAGCAATGGGATCAGAAAGCGCTGAAAAATTTTGGTTACTTACCTTATTTTGTAAAATATTTAGTAACGACAAAGTACGATATCATGTCATATTTTGCTAATAATGTATCTTATCTAGATGTGTACAACATAGTTAGGATACAAAATGTGCCACAATATGTGTATTAGTGAGAGCTCGAATGAGAGTCGGAGTGAAATTGTGCACTGATGTAATTCATGGGACATGTTGGTGATGTATAAAATTCTTACCAAGTATAGACTGTTAACTCGTCATTGTATTACAGAATGCACACGGTGTATTACGTATCCTATTGATGAACACTCCGGTTCGATTCACTGGTGCATCGGTGAATAGTTACACCTCTAGTTATATTACACATGGTACCTAACAGCATAGACAGAATGCAGTCCAATTATATCTGAGATGTTTGGTTAATAACTATCTATTTTTGTACGTGTTTTCGTATAACAGGCCCGCAGACAACAACGCAAGCTCAACTTCCTGATCACGCAGACTGAGCTGTATGCTCATTTTATGAGCCGTAAGCTTAGTGATGTTGATAGTGAGACTCAACAGATCCTTGGCAGGCTAGATGAGCGACCAGCCATCCACTCGGTGAACATAGGGGGCGCCACTCTCAATATGGGCATAAACGACGAGGATTATAGTAAGTGAATCATCATCATGCTAACACTTGGATGGGTTCATGTCACAAAGAAGATTATTTGGTTTTATTGATAGATGTAAGGTTTGATTACTGTATTCCTGTTATCTAGAGAGTGACACTGTCAAGCAAGATGCACTGAAAAACGTGAAGCAAGCATATGAGACGGCTGATGCAAAGCGAAAGGGGTTTGACGATGAAGTCTCTTCACTAAAGCAACAGAACTCTGTCACAGGTTTGTTCATTATTAATGTTCCTATTATGGCTTTCAGTCAGATTATAATGGGGATAGCAAGGACAGGATATTACCTGTGAATGTTAGGAGTTGTTGTTGGCCAACAGTGTACTAGATGCAGAAGGAGCTTTCAGGAGTTTAATTTTGGGTGTTTGATACTTGGGCCTAAATGTGTATATACTGTGTATGCGCATGTACTCTCTCTATATATGTGCCATCTTGTTTCTCATAGAAACGTTCAGCCTCAGCAATCCAAGCATAGTGGGAGAGGAGGATCGGCAACAGCCGAAGATGTTTCGTGGCACACTAAAGTGCTACCAGTTGAAGGGGATGAACTGGCTTGCCAACCTCTACGACCAGGGCATCAACGGCATTCTCGCCGATGAGATGGGACTAGGGAAGACAGTGCAGACGATCGCTGTGTTGTCACATCTCTGTGAGGCACACAGTATCTGGGGACCATTTCTCATCATCGCACCAGCTTCAACGTTGCACAACTGGACACAGGAGTTCTCCAGATTCGTTCCGAAAATGAAGGTTAGCTGATTGTACCCGATACAGGGAGGCACAGGAAGATATCTGTTAAGTGGGAATATATATATATATATATATATAACTCTTAACTATATATATATATATATATAATATATAGAGCCTTTAACTCTTTTATCGCACACTACATATTTGAATGTGTGAAAAGGTCAACTGTAGACATGGTAGATATATATATGTAGAATTCCAACCCTACCTGAAGGGCAGGTTTCTAGGTGGGGATTGTGTTGACGGTTGCAGGTGTTACCTTACTGGGGTAATACAAGTGATCGCCGCATCTTGCGCAAGTTTTGGAACCAGAAGAAGCTGAATCTGCACACAGAGGATGCATCGTTTCACGTTCTTATCACCAGCTACCAGCTGATTGTTCAAGACGTCAAGTACTTTCAGCGGATCAAGTGGCAGTATATGGTGTTGGATGAGGCACAGGCTATTAAAAGTAGTGCTAGGTAACAAAATCATGGTACTAGTTTATCCAAACACTGTGCATCTTAAGTGGCTTCACAGGGTTCGTTTTTGTGACTTTTTCAGCCCATGTGATGAAAATTTTGATAAAAAATCTAATTAATATTTCGATTGTGTTTCAGTATTCGGTGGAACATTTTGCTAGCGTTCACCTGTAGAAACAGGCTTCTTCTAACAGGAACACCGATCCAAAACAGCATGGCTGAGGTAAGACAGGGCTGCTACTCGTATACAAACAAACATGCTTATCATGTGCCATGCATATTATATCTTGGTGTTAATATTATTATCACTGTTACCATTAACGTGATTAGATAAATAGTTTGATAAATATGCATGCACACATCACCTGCACCCTTTTTGTTGGTTTGTACTTGTTTTGAAGTAGAAGTTTGCAGTGTGATTTCGTCCATTCCAGTTGTGGGCATTACTTCATTTCATAATGCCAACTCTATTTGACTCTCATGATGAGTTCAACGAGTGGTTCTCTAAGGACATTGAAAGTCATGCAGAAAAACAGACAGGCATCGATGAAAGTAGGAATGATATTATTAAGTTGATTTAGTAACAATTATTTTTACTAACATTTGTTAACAGAACAATGTTAATGCGTGGCTTAGTTAAGGAGTACTATTGAATTATAATTTAAATAATTATATTGAATTACTAGACGGATACTTATTTCTTTTTTAGAGCATCTTTCCCGGTTACATATGATTCTGAAGCCCTTCATGTTGCGCAGAATTAAGAAGGAAGTGGAAAACGAGTTGTCAGAGAAGGTATTACCTATACTGATCATGATTGGTGTGAAATGCAGCTTGTCAATAAATACTGAGTCTGCTAGCTTTCTGTATGCAAGTATTCCCTCTGCTATGCTCACATAAAGTTTAATTGACATGGGCAAACTACAATAACATCTTTGTTGGCACTGCAGATTGAGATCTTGAAATCCTGCCATCTGACAAACCGTCAGAAAGATCTGTACATTGCGTTGAAAAACAAGATTTCTATAGAGGACCTGCTTCAGACGACAAATTCGAATCCCAGCCAGGTGCAATCCTCCACAAGCAGTCTTATGAACATCGTCATGCAGTTCAGAAAGGTATGTATACCAGTCTCATCATCGGAGACAAATAATTATTAAAGGAATACTTTACTCTAGAATTTGAGAGTATATTATGATAGTAGATTTATAAATAATAGCACATACCTATAAATATCTATAATTACGCATTCACGTTTGTAATAAAACAACATTGAATTTCAAAATCTTCATTTTTGGGCGCTGACATGACACCCGCGACCGTGCTTCCACCCTGAAAAGTTGCGCATTTGGCAATTTATTTTGCACGTTACAGATCGAGGGCTAATCACAAAAGTGCAATTATATTTATACCTAAATGCTATTTAACCAAACGATATTCATTTTAGGAAAAATTTATCCATATTATAACTGAAACTATATGTCGTTTATAAGATATTGAAATCCTTCTGCTTTTAAATTAATAAATAAGAAACACTCTCGGTCTGTAGCCCTTGGCTGAAAAGTCTTTTTGCGCAACTTTTCAGATCGTGCGCTTGGAGTGGCGCCACCGTCGTTGTAATCAAAATAGTTGTTAGTTTTAAAACAAACAAAAATATTTCAAATGGTGATTGAACCATAAAATTTTTAATGTAACGTAATTGTATCCCCGAACGAAGTTCGTGGGGATACTATGGGTTTGGCATCGTCGCGCCGCCGCCGCCGTAGAGATTTCCTTGTGAGCGCTCTACCGGCTGCAGTTCTTCTCAGGATACATCTTCAAATTTCGAATGAAGGTGCGTTATCGTAAAGCAAAGACACCTATCGTTTTGGTGTGGGCGGAGTCATCATTGCCATGGAGAACATTTTTTGATCAAATTCTAGAACCTGTAAGCTTCCGCACTTTTTACCAATTGTCATGAAATTTATATTTGTATTAAAATTTATATTAAAATTTAAATTTAAATTTAAAATTTGTATTTAAATTTATGATTTGTCATCAAATATATATATATAGGACATGTTATATCGCGCCCTGTGTGCCAATATCCATGACAATCGGGTAAAACAGCACAAGTTACAGTCTACAATATTTCCACAAAAATGTTGTTACATGGCAACGATGACTCCGCCCACACCAAAAACGATTGGCTCTTCGCTTTACCATAACGCACCTCATGCCAAATTTGAAGATGATCCGAGATCGGTAAAAACTGCCCACAGAACCTTTTATTTCACCTTTACCTGACCTTGATCATATTTCTCTTCGCTCTCTAACTCAGCCCTAATTGACTAGCCGACCAAACTTGGTATGCTTACACATCTTGGGGAGAAGGTCTGCGCATACCAAAACCACCACTGCCCTTGACCTTAGTTTGACCTTCACCGTCACTTACATTTCCTCTCGGCCTCCTAGGGTAACCAGATTCCATATACTTGCACATCTGAGGCACACCAGTTGTCTAACAAACCTTTGTCTTGTGACTTATTTAACTTTACCTGCCTTCTACGTCCTTACACAGATTTTCTATTCATACTAGATCACGGGGGATACATGTAGTTGGCGACAACTGCTCGTTTCTAGTTTTAACCTAAATCAACTGAAAATAACTCTAGAACCTAGAGTCAAGTATTCCTTTAAAAACTTTAAAACATGAATTATGAAGTATATTTCATTTAATTATAGTATCCTTTGCATGTTTCAATACTTTGACAAAACACTTGCTTTTCATTATTATTTGACTGTGTGCCATTAATTGCTGTGTTGACACTGCCATGTACAACGAGGTTGGTTTGCGGTTCATGTAGGTGTGCAATCACCCTGAGCTGTTTGAAAGAAGAGAAGTAAAGTCTCCTCTTTACATGGAGGCCCCCTCGTACCAGATTCCATTGCTCATCTACAGACAAGGTATGATTATTTGGTCAAATAGTCAAGGCTAAGCCAATACTGGAATAAAGTTAAATGCTCAGTAACAGAATGTGTTAAAAAATTTGTAAAACCAGCTTTCCTATGTGTTTGTATACATCTTAAACTTTTTGGCCAGTTTAGATTAGACATTTGTCCATTTTAGCCTGTAAGAATCTATTAACAAAGTAAAGGCATGGTTGTGAAGAGGGACACATTGGTCGGTGTCTTCAGAAATATTGCTAATTCTGCCTGTCATGTATCACCTGTCATTATTGTCTAGGTCTGACAACCCCTGGTGCACTCAAGACTACTCACTTGCTCAAAGGCAAGCTGAGTCTCTTCTCACCGGATAATATTCATCGATCGATATTCCCAGCAGAAGGTGAAGGTAGGAAGCAACCACAATAGGTTGTTAATTAATATGTCAATTTTTATTTTTTGCTGCTGTATGTTACCTGCCAATTTCCACATCAGATTTTAGAATACTCATGCATTATTTATGCAATGAGACAATAAATAAATAAATAAATAAATAAATATATATATTTAATTATTTATTTATATATATATATACGAATGTATATATGCTTGTATTCATACATAGATACGTACGTTCGTAAGTTCGTGCATGCATGCATACTTACATTGTACATACACAATCATACATTACACATGCATGTATACATGTATAGCGAGCCATTTTTCCACCACTACAGGTGAGCGTGGCAGCAGTTGTTTTTCCTTCCTGAGATTTGTTGACACATCACCCTCTGAGTTGTCATCAATTATGCTTGGAGGTGTGTTAGTCAGGTAAAGTATGAAATTTATTTGAAATCTGTTATAAAAGGCACTATGGGTGAAGTTTCTTTGAAAAATTTATCTTAGTATGAACCCATTTTTATATGGCGTTAATATGGTGTCATATTTGACAAATACGGCATACTTTCAAGTAGATATCTGTAGGTGTTAAGGTCCATATTGTGCCACTCAGCATGGTAAGAACTCGCTGAAGTTAATTGTATTGAAGCAACAAATAGAATGATCTCATTTCAACAGATTTATCTCCCTGATCAGAGTTCTTACGTTATGCCAAGAGTATAACTAAACGTGTTTTTGACTGTTTAAGGTGGCTTGCAGTGGTGAAGTGTCTGATTCAAGCACATCTGCTCTGCCATAGAAGGAATTGGTCAGAAGGCAAACCTAGGATTAGGTATGTTTGTCGTACAATTTACATTCTGCCTGCACATCTGGTTGCTCAGGTATTGCAATAATTCAGTGTTTGCACTTTCCCTAATCGTTATCGCTGGTGGTATCTATTTTACACGAGGAATGTACAAAGTTTCAACACTTCTCTTCATGTCGGTTGACATCAAAAATGATGATCTTCATATAGATTTAATGCATCGTATAGTAATTCATGCTGCTAAACTGAGTGATATATAAGTAGTTTTATAAGATGAGGTTCAAGACTAGAAAATGGAAGGTACAATGTTTATATCCCTTTCCTTTCCATCTCTATAGTGTCTATAATTCATCTGCCTTATCTCATGTGCACTTTTTCTCCTAGATGCCAATAGATGTAAGTAATATAGACAATAGCGAAACCTACCGTGAGAATTTTTTTTAGATAAAAACTCTGCACCAGAAATCCCATCTATATGCAATGGAAAACGAGGTATTACCAGTCCCATTCATTATTCAGGTACCTGGACAGGTGCGCATTTCTGCTGGCGCCATCACGTGTCACATACTTCTCCACACTGCAGTCGAGTCATCACATGTCTCATCTTGTCTTCACATCACCCACCTCCACGCTCTACACACACGTGGATGCGACGGAAACGCTCCCACTTGAGTGGAGAAACTCACTTTCACGACAGCCGGGCGGCATCACAAAGGGTCTGGCAACAAAGGTAGTGCACGAATTTGCTCCTCCCCTGTTCAGAAAAGCACCACATTTGCTCCTCCCCTGTTCAGAAAAGCACCACATTTACAAGTTACTCGGAGTTGCTGCATTGTGAACGTAATTGGTTCAAAAATTCCGTTTGTGAGTTTTCACAACTCAGATGAGGGGAGTGGTTTGGTTCATAAATATGGGTTTCAGATAACTCGGAGAATCCCTGCCCTTGTCTGCTTTTGTGTGCTAGGCTACACGCCACATATCAGTGCTAGTATCGGGGTTGATTCAACATTTCCGTCAGCAGCTCTGTCTTATTGTATGCGATCTTTGATGTTAGTTACGTTCTGCTCTGTTGCAGTGGCAATGATATTTTAAGAATATATTTTAGTGCTTTATAGGAAGCTTTATTTGAGTAGGTGTGATGTAATTAATTAGATTACTAAGATTAATTATTACCCATTTTTAATTATTTCAATAGAGGTACCGAGCCTACGACTGTCAACCTGCATTCCTACCACCATACATGGTTCATGTCATACCAAAGGTAAGGGAATATATGATTTTGCAGAAGGATTTTTCTATGTCTAATGTAGTTAAATGATATTGGAAATATCTAATCGTAATACGATATAGACAAATGTGCTTTCTATGAACAACAAGTAGAACAAATGTAAACGTGCATAGGGTTTGTTGGTTAGTGATTAATCATTAGTTTATACGATTTAATCACGATTTTAGTCTGGAATTTGTCTATATAGTGAAGTAATAAAGGCACATCTGTCTGCAAGGTTTCAACCTCAACACGGCTGTGGTACTGCCCAGACCGAAGTGCCGCGTGGCAGGTACGTGAGAAGACACTAGGAGGTAGTGCCGAGGCGAGGCAGGTCACGATGTATGGCTCGCCACAGCTTGTGCCTGTGAAGGAGCATTTCTCTGCACAAGCCCAAGGTGGTCTCCTAGCATGTGCCTGCGTCAATGGCTGGTCACACATACAGATACCCGGTGAGACAGTTGCACACTGTGACGTAATACGTTTGCTCAACTAGAATCATAAACTTTTGGAATCTTAAATTATTAGCAGAAACTTCGTATGGTTTGTAGTAAGTTAGATGTATTTTTTTTAATGTAAAAACTCGTAACGGTGTATGTTATCATAGTTATATGTTGACTGAGATGTCCATAATGATTCAAGCAAGCATTGCTTATGACACTATAGTGTGTCCAAACAGTGAGTATGTACATGCTGTAAAAGCGGTCAAATAATTTTTAGATTTATTTTATCCTGAACATTGCAAAAAATCATTACTATGTAACCGCGTAAAATTTCATCGGTATTGTGTTTGCCAATTTATCGTGATATTAAAACCTTATATTATCACATGATTTGATATATTTCACTATTTACTACAGACAAAGAGACTCTCGTCACAGATGCAGGAAAGCTGTACGCCCTCGATCAGTTACTAAGGGAGCTGAAGGCAGATGGTCACCGCGTGCTTATCTATTCACAGATGACCAGGATGATTGACCTGCTTGAGGTACGTCACATTCAACTATTTCTTACTGAATTTATATTGTCTCAGAATTTGTGTAAAGAGTTGGGCACACTGGTCCACATCTTTTTGGGAAATCGGGTAAATTGTAAGAACTAAACAGGTCCATACATGCCACGGAAGTCAGATTCAAACGCACAGGGAATCCTGTAAATTTTACCAGTGTAGTACCAGTGTAGTAGCCTGTAATAACACAATCTATGCTTTGAGGTGTTTTGCAACGTTGTGGAAAGGTTTGCCAGGGTACGAATATATGTGTTAATGTTTTCATAATTACAGGAGTACATGTGGCATCGGAAGCACACATATATCAGATTAGATGGTTCGTCAAAAATCTCGGACAGGCGAGATATGGTAGCAGATTTCCAGTCCAGGTTTGTGTATATAATATGTTAAAACATGATTATCTCGTTGAGATTATTTACCCCTGTAAATCTGAAATTGACCAACATTATTTTTGCTCACAACTTTAGCACGTTTAGCAGTATTATTTGCATTGATTGTGCTAAAAATATTATTATGCCTTCTATATTGCTATAAGAGAATGTCTTGCTTGTTGGCCGTATTGAGCTATCGCTGCATCCTACTCTTCAATATTTTGATCAGCACTAGTTGATGCTGCAGATTTAATGTGTTCCTAATCTCAGGCTTGTAACATACATCACATAGTATACATACTTCAACCTCTAAATACATTACAAATGGATCATGATATAAATATTGGGTATCAACACGTGCTTTATATTTTTATAATTCATTTTAACAGGTCAGACATATTTGTGTTTCTACTGAGCACTAGAGCTGGAGGCCTTGGAATAAACCTAACAGCTGCTGACACTGTAAGTTTGACAGCACATACATGTATGTATGGAACTGCTATATGAAAGCTCTTCCTAAGAGTCCAACCATGTATGATTCAGATGCTTTTCTTTGAGAGCGTACGTCATGGTAGTGGTTGGACAAGCAATAATCATGTATGCCCTAGGTTGGATAGAATCAAGGGCACATAAACTATAGAGCAAACAATGATAAAAACAGAGCAATGTCTCAGTTACAGTCGAATTGAGTAAACTTATGCACGTAGTTTGAACAATACATGCTACTTTATTAATAATAAATTGTGCTTGTTTGATTCAATAATACCAACGACTTGTTCATGTCGTTTTCCCGAGCTGAGGTAGAAGTGTGTCAAACCGTGCCAATCTCTGATTAACACGGGCATTTTTCAGACATATGATCCCAGTTTCCTGGGAGTTTCCAGCAGTGGTCCATGGCCACCAGTGCCATAATCTATACTTGGTTATGCTACTAATAGGCTAGCATAGGAGGGGGCAGACCATAGGTATGGCAACACATGATGTGTTGTTCTGTCTATGTGCCTATTATGTACTCTGTATAAATAAATAACAATAATAACTCCAACATTACATATATGAAATGTTCATACCAAAATATACGTGAACACTTCACTCTGCAATAAACTATGAACACCATATGCCTAGATTTCACACCTAACATTCCTTTCTCATACAAATGATACAAGATACATTGCGCATGCTCGCAAATTTCTTTCATGACGTTCATCAAACCATGGCCAATGTGTAATTGAAACCCACGAAATTCACTTTGGCTTCAAATGGTAAGAGAGACTGGGATCGAAGGTCTGGGCAATATGTCTGAAAATCAAAGGTTGGCATGTCTTTCCACACTTCTCTCTCCGCTCAGGAACATGACAGGAACAATTGAAGTTGGGGTTGGAAGTTGGTCTTAATGAATCTAGCATAGATGATTATTCATAAAGTAGTGCATCATTCATACTGTGTCTGAAACATTTCTTAATTTAACTGAAAATAATGCATGGTTTTCAGTTGTTATGGTTATTTGCTCTACAGTTTATGTGGCCTTGATAGAATCGAGCTGATTAAGAGACTCTGGTGAAGCATGCATTCATGCAGCTGCACTGTACTCCATTCCTACGTGGCACTTGGCCTTTGCAGATGGTTGTTATCTGCTTTGATGGAAGTACACTCTGAACAGGGGCAGATTATCACAGCCGATTTGGTGTCTCCATCTTTATGTAATCGGTGTGCAGGCTTCGACGCTTATTTTCAGATCTGGTTGTCCTGTCGGGCAACAAGAAGCAATTTTGATTTTACTTGTCCAATATTTACTTGTGCAATCTATGAGCCGTAAATGTCCTCTTTTGGTTCAGTGCATATCATATTATCAGGAGTTTATAATATAGAGATCTATATTATATAAATAGATATATAAATTAGATATATATATATATAACATATTAGATAGATGTAGATATATATATATATATATATATTATACACTTCTGATATTTTTGCCAGTATTCCTGCCATGCATATAGGCTCGCACATACCTAGGCATGTGTCTGCGCATGGCGTTTGCATGCGTGCGTGCGTGTGTATTACACTTACAGTATATACAACCGTATTTACTTGTGTATAAACCGCGCTTTTTTGTACACATGTTCAATAAAAAAATCAGGGGGTGCGACTTATAGACGAGTAAATACAGTACATGTAAAATCGTAATGAAATTCACACGTTTATGTTTGCATGCTGCGCACTCATTGTGTGTCATTACCGATTCAGCTTTTCCTTCAATCACAGGAAGAGTTTTGCTGTCGTCCTCTCATCCAGCGATGCCCCCTATATATTCAGTAATGAATATGCCCCAACTGATTATAAACACAATCGTACCCCACCCCAGTCATAAATCAATGACGCCGTCAGGGAGGTATGCACTGCGTCTGAATAAATCTGTAATGGTAAAAGTGGGTGTCCGGCCTGCTTTTTTCAGGGACCTTTGAAAACTTTTGAAGTGAGAATGTGGTGCGATAGCGCCATGGCTCAGAGGTGTTAGGAATATTAAACAACTAGAACTTTTCAGTTGTCCGATTGGGCAACTAGGCAAGAGAATAACTTGTCCGACATAGACTTTCACTTGTCCGGGCAATCGGACAACGCGTTAGTGTCGAGGGCTGGTGTGGTTATTGTATTTAAATGCTTCTCTACACAATGTTTAATACAAATAACCAATCGATTACATTGAATTGTAATTGTATTTAATAGAAGCTGTGTATACAGTTTGGTGGTCTGGTAGGGTTTGCATGCAATGCAAGATTTCTCATTTCCTCCATTGAATTGCTAGACAGCTAAGAACGTAATTAAGAGGCAATTTGCTTCTTACACTATTAATGATAGCTATTGGGTTTTTATGGAAATGAAACTTCCCAAAGCTTTATGAGATTAAGATTACTGTGTAAAAATGCACAGATTCACATCTAATTTGTGTTGCTCTATTTCTCACATTTCTCTCTGGTGTTTTGCGTAGGTAATATTCTATGACAGTGACTGGAAATCCACAGTGGACCAACAAGCTATGGATCGAGCACATCGACTTGGTCAGACTAAGCAGGTGTGTTGTGTATCAGACTGATCTGTAAAGACAATCAGAGGAAGCATATTGCAGAGAGCCCGTGAAGTCTGAGGTAAGTAAACGTGGATGTGTCGCTGATGATTGGTCATCTGATATTGGCGGGTGGCAGTTAATAGGTCGC